ATTATTAACACTAAAAGAGATACGTTGCTTTAGTTTCTGGTCAAAGAGTAAAACAATCTCTAAATCCATAGTTTGAGATTTAAATTGAAATTATAAGTTGGTAATGATATTCGATCAGATGACAATGACATTTGTACTTCAAAAACTGACATTTATATTAAAACCAACTTCAATTGATTAATCTCACTATTATATAATGACAATAAGATATGATAGGAAACACGAAGACTGAAATTATTCGATTACTATTCTAACTGTAAAGTAAAGCTGCCGTTGAGATGTTAATAAAATTTAATTGGGGATAGTAAACACTAGACGGCTCGACTAGATGACTAATTAATTTGAATACGTTCTCAAAGTAATCACGTAAGCTCAAAAAAAAAACGACTACCGCAAAATAAACATCAACAACAACAAAAAAAACTGAAGATTAATGAACACGGAGAGGTATGCGAGTCGATCGGCATCGTTTCGTTCTATCGGTAAACGGCGATCGACGCGAAAGAAGAGACGAGTCCTCCTTTTACTGTTAAACTGATGCAAAAGTGGAATGTCCGGATTGCGGAAAACTACATTTTTAAATATGCAAATCTGAGCGGAAGACGACTACGATCTTTTCCGGTCACAATTTGAAAGTTGATTTTATTATTACTTCGCAACTCGTAAAAAAATATTGTTCATTATATGAAATAGATGGCGGTGATCTCTCATGCGTAATTAATGCGACGCGTTTATCAATTTGTTCCAAATAATTTCATCACAAAACACGCATTTAAATATGTAATTATTGTTATTACTCTCTAAGGTATTAAGTATTCAAAAGCATTTCCCACACTGCGGGGTCGGGCTTTTTCCTTTTCTACACGAATCGAATATCTGTGCGAAACGGAATGAATTAATTTCGTACTGAGACGATTTCGATACTCCGCACGAATCTAGTGTTCCAATGAGAGTATCATTATTATACAATTGTTTTATGTTGCTTGGCAACATTAGTTCCTAATATAATACTATTTATTTATTTATGATCTTGTTGAAACAATTGAAGTAAATAATGGCACGCTGAATGTTGTTATTATTGTAGCAAAATGCGAAATAATCGTATAGCATTTGAGAAGGTAATTACATACGAAACTGTTGCTTTGCGAATATTAACAACTGTTTTATGAACAGTGGGCGTAGCAAATTGATCGTCAATCACTTAAGTCGTAAAGAGAAGAAAAAGTAGCGAAATAAATTGAGTGAATAAAGAAAGATACGATTCGAAAAGAAAAGGACACGGTTGGATGCGATAACTGCATGCGGTGAACAAACGATTAATTTACAACATTAACCCAATAAGTATTGTAGTGTTAATGAATGGATGTAATTCAGTGAATGAATGAATGAATAAATGCGAATTGTGATATTGAAATTAAAAATCCAGAAAATTATTTTAATATATAAAGAATGTACGTGCAAAAAAAAATAAAAGTCCGTAATGTATCGGCGTTTATGTTTGCATGGCATGCGAGAGAGTCGCCGTGGTAACCAGAAACTCGTTTGCCGATCGCAGAAGACCGTGCACGCCGTTCGTTCGAGAGTGCTATTCAAATCGGCAATTGTTTAAACAAATGCATTACTCTTGTGATGTGTTAGAGAGATAAAAGGGTGGATCGCGCGGAGCGATGTGTTCTGTTTGCTCTTCTCACAAGAGTTCCGGATCGACTGTCGCAGTCTGCAGAAGGATCGCGACTGTTTAAATATAGAAATATTATTAGAAGGGAGCGGCGGAGGTTCGCGAGTCGATTGGAGCGAGTGCAAACAGCGCGCACCAGCGGTTTCTATAAATAGACTTAGCCGGGTAAGAAAAAGATTGACTCCGCTTCCAGAGAGAAAGATGCTGGCTGGGAGCGTGGTAACCGGCAACAGCAGAAACAGAATGAATACAAAAAATAAAATATATATATATATGTACGACAATGATGGAAATAATGAAACAGAAAAGAAATAAGTAAAGAAGGAGGAAGGCGCTGGTGGCTGCTGCCACAGTTAATGGGCGCAAAGTTGGAACAAAACTACTTTCACGCGCCGTTACCATAACAACTTTGATATCTCAATCGGAATGGCGTAAATTAATTGTCGCTTTTTGTTTCGTAACGACGGCGACGATATTCAATTTTCTTAGATAATAACAAATGATCGACGATACAGATCAAACATTTTAATAATTTCGTTACCATAACAACTTTGTTGTTTCGATCGAAATTGCTGAGAAGATATGTTGTTGTTGTTATTGATATCTTCGAATGCATTTTCAGCATTTTCCATTCAAAATAAACGTATAAAAAAACGTACAATTAAACTAAATATTTATTATGTGTCGTGTTCTGTTAACTTAATCCTGCATTTATATATGTAAGTATCAAAAAGAAAATGAAAAATAAACTGAAGTAATAATGTAAGTAGACGGCTGGGCGGTCTTCTACTGTTGGCTGGCTATCATTCGGATTCGCTCTCGCTGGACTCGAAATCTCCCACATCGATGGTGAACTTGTACTCCTGGTCGCATCCGAGATAGGCATCGCTCATGAAGTACAGCGTGTAATTATGGTGTCCGGGGCTCGGGGCGACGAAGTCCAGCTTGACCCTGGCCTTCTGTTGCAGAGTCAGCCGTTTGATGGACAGCAGCGAGTTGCTTTTCGGATCCCCGATCACGACCCACCAACCCTCCTCACGTTTCTGCAATTACACAAATTGTTATTAGTTATACGCACTTTTGATGTTCCGCTGGGAAACTTACCTGAGGGAAGAACGGTGCGATCACCGGGCCGGTTACTTCGTCCTCTCGCTCCAGCTGCACAGCAACGTGCACCGACGAGCCGGAATGGATCTTCTCCTTGTCCAGCACCTCGTAGCTCATCTCGATGTTCGGGTAACGATTACAGAACTTGGCGACGTCGGCCATCTGCGCGTCGCTCAATTGCAGCAGCTTGGAGCGATCCTCGTCCTCCAATTCCATGATGTCGAACACAGTGTCCACGTTCTTCTCGGTGCACCGTTTGATGATGTCGTTACCAAAGTGCGGTAATTGCTTCAGATAGGAATCCTTGCTCCACATAGCTTGCGTTACCATCTGCGCGAGTTCCATGGCGGCGACGGCGGGACTCAACCAGCCGTTCGAACTGAGCACGTCGACGCAGGCTTGAATCAATCTGATGGCCTTTGCCAAAATCACTTCTGTATCGCCTTGGAGTTCGGCTCCCAACTGGAGACGACAAAGATGCGCCTGCAGCAGCAAATTGGTCTTGTTATGGGGATCGTTGTATTTGGGTGGACCGGCTGACGAATTCAACTTGTTCGGTAGACGCTGCGACAGCGTCCTCAGCAGGTTATCTTCGTGATGCCGCACCGGCACATCTTCGTACTCCGCCGCGGACGATATAATTTCAATCAACCCTCTGATCTTGGTCTTGCTGCTCAGCGACAAACTGAACATCTCTATCGTCGTGTAATTAATATAATAATAGGCAGCGATCATACCCAAATTCAACGGTAAACAGTCCATCTCCTCCTCGATGCTAATACACTTGGATTGCTCCAAATCTGATAAAGTGTTCTCCACCAGCTCAGACAAATGATCGGATAAGTGTCTGTGCGTGACACCTTGCAAATTATAATAATTGGGATTCTGCGTTAACCTGCGATACAGGAAGGTCCAGGTGAGGTAATCCACTGCATCCTGTTTGTTCTCGATCGTCTTGGTGACGATCTCTGCGTTGAAGTGATCGTGCATCCTGTGATCCAAATGGCTCTCGACGGGGAGCGAATCGTTCAAGAACTTCTTGAAGAAATCCTTCTTGGAGCTTTGACACATCAGAACGCATTTAGCGTCGTCATCGTCCAATGGTCGATTCGCCCTTCCAACCATTTGCAGGACATCGTTGACAGGGTAATCTTCGTAAGCGTGCACCTTTCCGTTGTAGAATTGAGTGTCCATTATAATTACCAGATGGGCGAAAATGTTGACGCCCCAGCATAAATCTCTGGTGACGACGGCCACTTGGACCGCACCGGAATCAAACAGCTGTTCGACCAAACGATGATCGCTCGGTGTTAAACCTTCGTGCATGTAAGCGACTCCCTGCGACAGAGTTTCCTTCAGCGTTTTATCCGTCATCCTGTCCAGGAAGGGTTTGATATCCTCCTCCTCGGCGTGGAAGAATCGGTTGGGCTGATTCTCAGCCGCGGCGTACGTCAGCAGGTCGATGGCGGTCAATCGGGCCTGCTTCCTCGTCGGAACGAAAATAATTACAGGTTTGTGCGAGCTGTGCCTGATGATGGCATTGTAGACTGGCTTTGACATCGCGATCAATCTGGACGCATTGTGGGTGATGTTGATACCTTGCACGTGCAACTCCAGCGGGATAGGCCTCACGCTCGGCTGGAAATTGAAGGTGCAATTCGCGTTGCACCCCAGCCACTGCGCCACATCCTTGTAATCGGTCAAAGAAGCGGAGAGTGCCACTATCCTAATTGGTTTTTCGATCTGCGAACTGATATACCTCATCCTCGAGCAGACCACCTCGATTACAGGTCCATCCTCGCCTCCGATCAGGTGCAACTCATCTACGATGAACAGGTTGACGTTCTGCACGTTCTTCCTCTGCTTCCAACGCCTGGACAGCACATCCCATTTCTCCGCCGTCGTAACTACGATCTGCCCTTTGGCCAGCAGCTTCAAATCGGTGCCGGTCTCGCCAGTCAGCAGGACCACTTTCTTGCCAAGCAACTGCCCGAACTTATTGTGCCACTCGGTGAAGACTAATTCGGCCAATGCTTCTTTAGGTACCAGATACACGCACTTTCCTTCCGGATTCACTTGGAACAATCGCAGCACTGCAAATTCAGCGATCGTCGTCTTGCCCGAACCGGTGGGAGCGCCCACGAACACGTTGTCATCGCTGTTGTAGACTGCATTGAAGACTTGCGTCTGTATCGGATTGAATTGCGGGAATTTCCCGTTGTACAGAGACTCGTAGCAAGCGTTCCTCAACGCCGTGATCGGCAGCGGCTGCAGATCGAGCAATTCGGTGTGCGGGAAGTTCTTCTCTGGCAAGATCAGATGCCTGAACGAAACGGGCAACTGAGTCTCAGCCCCGATCCATCTGTCGGAGACGACGCGCAGGAAGTACTGCGGTGGTAGAGGCTCGAAAATCGGCACGAAGAATTTGACCAAATGCTCGTCGTTGGCGAACTTCGATTTGAGCAAGAAGTACTCGTTGTGTAGGATGACTTCGCTGTCGACATCCTCGACTAAAATCCAGAAGCCTTCGGAGGCTCCGTGCAGCTTTTCATCCCATTGGAAATCGGGTGTGATGGTTAATTCAACACGCAGGGTGGATCTGGTGATGGGCTGGATGTGCGTGGACAACTCCAACTTGGGGAACTGATGCACGTACTTGTGTATGGTTTTGCCCAACTTGGGGACACGGATCAGCTCACCAATTTCGTTGGGGCCGATGTCGTAGAGTCGCTCCCACGGGAAGTTCTTCTTTTCGATCTTCTTGACGATTTCCTCGGGCATCTTTCTGAACTGTCTCAGAGGTGACATGGATTGCCACATGCGCTTATCGATCATCTTGCAGAGCGCCAGGGTTTTGTCGGTGAGTTGAGCCCAACCCCGATGCAGCACAATCTCGAATATGGCGCGCATCAGACGAGATGCCGATTGCGTTACGTACACCATGTCGGACATCAGGGCGAATCCTTCGAGCTTCAGCTGGGAAATGTAGGCTTGAAGGAGGACGTTGACTTTGGCGCTGGGCTCTTCGATGCTCTCCTTGATAGGAATCGGCACGCGTTCCATCAACTTCTGCAACTCCATTTTCTCCTCCTCTCTCACGGCGATGTTCCTGAACTCACCGGATAGCGAGAACACACGGAACAGCTCGATCTCGCTCAACATCGGCTTCAGCAGTTGATTGTAGGTGGCCATAGTCTCGTGCGTGCAGTAGTAATGCGATGCTATCCTGCCGATTTCAGTTACCTGGAATAGCCCGGTCTTTCTGTCGTACTTGATGAGGCCGCTCCTGTCCAAGATCAATGCAGCCGTATGGATGATATCGCCGCAATGCTGCTCCAATAAACTATCGGATTTCAGCTGATCGTGAGATATTCCGTACAAGGTGGGCTGCCTCAGCATACGTACGTACAGATAAGTGTATGCGAGCCAATTTACCGCGTCTTTGACGTTCTGCACGGTGCCGAGAATGATCTCCGCATTCAGCATGTCCGGCAGTTTGGTGATCATCTGCGATTCAATTGGTAGCTGCTGGTTTAGCAGCGACAGGTAATACTGCAGCTCACTGTGATTGGTAATTAAGATGCCCTCACCTTTGGTATCGTACTGCGGACGACCGGCTCTGCCCAACATTTGGAGCACGTCGAGTGCGCCCAGCTCGACCCATCTGCCTTTCTCTGGGTTGTAGATCTGCGTTCCCTTGATGATCACAGTATGAGCAGGTAAATTAACACCCCACGCAAGGGTGGCTGTAGACACCAGAACTTGGATGTGCCTATCAGCGAACAAATCCTCCACCAGCGTCCTGTCCACACGCGTCATTCCGGCGTGATGGATGGCGAAACCATACGGCAACAGATCTTTCAACTCTTGATTCTTCACCTGCTCCGCTTCGGTACGCAACACTTCCATGGATGCTGAACCCTCTTTAAGGAACTGCCCCAGCGTGTCCTTTTCCAAGCACATATCTCTAATAGCGCGCGCCGTTTTCCCGGTCTCCTTGCGCGAATGCACGAAAATCAACACCTGATTCCTTCCTGCATGTTCCATCGTCTTCTCATAAACGATCTCGTTCATAACTTGATACCTCTTCAAAGCTTTCTTCTCGGTCACCCCAATGTACTGCTGCTCCAGCGCCACAGGCCTAAAACTGTTATCGAAGTAAAACAGACCAGTCTCAGGCTTAATACGCAAGAACGTGGCGACGTCTTGGTAATTGGGCAATGTAGCTGACAATCCCACCAATCTAACATCTTCCTGCGTGGATTCAATCATCCTAATGGTTCTGGCAACGAGAGCCTCCAATACAGGACCTCTTTCGTCGTGCAAAAGATGAATTTCATCAATAATAATCAATCTCACCAAGGACGTGAAAGTCTTCTCTCCGCCTTTGCGCGTAATGATGTCCCATTTCTCCGGCGTGCAAACGATGATTTGCGTGGCGGCAATCTGCTCTCTGGTCAGTTGATGATCTCCAGTCAACTCGGACACGGTCAAATTGTAATTGGCTAATCTCTTACCGAAATTACCCACCATTTCCTGTACCAAGGATCGCATGGGAGCGACGTAGATTATTTTGAAGTCGTCCGCGTTAATGGTTCCATCGTCGTTGATGTGCTTCCCGATTTCGCGCATCATCGTCAACAGTGCAACGTTGGTTTTACCTGCACCAGTTGGGGCGCACAGCAGTAAATTCTCGTCGGATTCCAACGCCGTTTTGTACAGCCTGCTTTGGATTCTGTTCAGAGTGCGGAACCCATCGAAAACTGGTTGCACGTACTTGGGAAGCTCATCCACGGGCTTCAACTTCTCGTTATCGTTGAACGGTTTCGGTTTTAAGGCCGGCACGTGCACTTCCTCGTAGCCTTTCCTCTGCTTCCTGAATGACCCGCCCGGCAACTGGCATCTCTTATTCGCCATGAAATGCGAGCCCTGATTAAAGACCAGATCTTCGAAATCGATCAGCTGTCTCGAGCCGGTGATTTGTCCACCAGCGTTATCGGAATTCTTGTCTTGGTTCTTACGTGTTGACGAACGCACGTTCGAATCGTCGTCATCATCATCATCGCCTTTACCAGTATCCAACACTTTAAGTATCCTCGACAGCGAGGGGTCTTCGCTCATCTTCTCGCGGATCTTCGAACGTTCCGTCTCGCTTTGCGATTTCGCCAGCATCGTGCAGTACAGGATCATCTGACGATACTTCTTCAACTGCTTTATGAAATCGAAACAATCGTAACCCAACAATAGAACCAATTGGTTTTCGCACTCACGATCATCGTTTGCGTCGCGCAACACGTTCAGCACTTCGGCGGCCCTCGCCTGCGACATCATGGCATCATCGTAAATCTTCGATAATCGCCTTTGCAGCCAATAAGCATCTATATCCAGAGGATGCAAAGCCTTCTCCTTCTTCATCTCGTTCTCGACTCCGCCCAAGTTTTCGGCGTGGATGGCTCCATCCTCTCTGGCCTCCTCCCCCTCGTCATCGTCCATCTCCTCTCTGATCTCACCGTACATATCCTCATCGTCCTCCTCTTCGGATTCTTCGAACTGCACGTTTATACCGTACGTCTCATCGATTTGCTCTTCGTTGGTCGTCGCTTTGTTCTCCTCGTTTCCGAAATCGGTGATTTTCTTGCCGAGATTCACCAGCAGCGCGAACCTCTCCTCGGCGATTGGACCGATCAACGTTTCTGCCTCCTTCTTCTTCTCTTTCTCCTTCAGACGATCATTTTTCAGAACCGTCAAGACCTCGTCGGCAGCTCCACACAATATATCTCTTGGCTGATCTCCGAGAGCTTCCTGCAAGAAGCTCAACAGCACTTCATAGGTTTGCCTTGTCTCCTGAGTTTTCGGTCTGTAAATAATTCCAACCATCTCATCCACACCCTCAGACAACAGAGTGGCTCCCTTCATCCTGGTGAAATCGTACTGGGCCTCATCTCTCTTCTGTCGCCTAAAATAAACAATAAAAGAAAACAACATTATAAAAAAAGATCTAGTTACATGTACAATATAAACAAAAGATTGATTTTCAAAAGACTCACTTGACTTTACGTTCCTCCGCTTTGCCTGGCCTACTTCTCTGTGCCCTGTCACCCATTTTGGTGCCGGACAGTTTGCCCACAAGGGAGATAACCTCACCAGTGGCCTCATCGCGACTTCTCCTTTCTATCAGACGGACATCAGCTTGTAACACCAAATTGGAATTCTGAAACACAAGGGTTCAGAGCATAAACAAAACATAACCTATAAGGGTACGTTTCGTACCAAAAACGTTCGTAAGAAAAATTGGAATTTGCACTCACCGCTTTGTACTCGTACTGAAGCTGCCTGGCCGCAGCATCAGCCATGGTTTCTGAATGATTATTAAACTCTCAGTAAATTGAAGAAAACAAACACTTTTAACAAGCCTCAAACCGATCGCCACACATCCACCATTTTCATATTTTAACGCGCAGTTTCGCTTATGCAACTGAAAATACACATTCAATTCAATTATGCATCCCATCAAACAGAAAAACTGTATTAATTATTATTTAAAATAAATGTACATTCAGACAAAAAAAACTATTTAAATTAAAAATTTGAAAACATTTTGCTAATTTAAGGCATAAATTATATTTTTTTTAAATATATATATAATATTATTTATTATGTTAATAGAGTTGCATATAATACTAAATCTCCTTGGAGATGTTTACTTGTCAAAAATTGAAATCGCATTTGTTTTGTAACAACGTGCTTGCAAGTATGACCGAAACAGAGAATTTCGGTTTCGTGATCGACACCGGCGTCGACGACGATGGCCAAAAGCTGCAGGAGGCGTTCGTTCCTCTTAATATCGATTCGAAGAGCGATTTGGGCAAAGAAGAAGGTAATTATTAGTACAATAATTGCGATGCATTGAGGTTATAATTTTGTGTGTTTGTAGATTGTCTCATAAAACAATTGCTCGCCGAGTACAGAGAGGAGAAGTATATGAATGCGCAGAACGAGAAGAGTCTGTCTAGCTATGAAAAGTTCTGCAAGGATATGGGGTGGACGTGCTTGCAAAGAAATAAGAGATTGAAGAAGAAGAATGAACTCTTCGAAACACCTAAAGGTTTATCGGATGAGGCCAAGAAAGTGCTATCAAAGAGTGAGGTACTCAAGGAAGAGTTCAAAACAAAGCATGCTGTGCCACCTGAGGAGGTTTCCAAGAGGCAGGCAAAGAAAGAGAGAAAGGTAATTTAATATTTTTTGTTGAGTTATTGTTGTTTTTGTTACCAAGGTAACTAAGACTTTGTTGGTCAAAGTTGTCTTGACCCAAGCAATTTATTTTGAATTTAATAATGTAATTGTCATTACTAATGATTGTATTTAAATTTCAGGTTGAGAAGGAGAAGACGAAGGGCGATAAATGGTACGGGTTACCAGCGACTGAAGTCACCGACGAGCTTAGGAAAGATCTCGAGGTGCTCAAAATGCGTTCGGTGCTGGACCCAAAGCATTTCTACAAGAAGAACGATCTGCAAGTGCTGCCCAAGTACTTCCAAGTAAGGATTCATTAGCGCGCGATCGTAACTGTGTTTAACTAATTAACTTTAATTTGCAAGGTGGGAAAAGTTGTGGATTCGCCACTGGAGCACTACAGCGGCAGGTTAACGAAGAAACAGAGGAAGAGGACCATCGTGGATGAATTGCTTGCTGACGCCAATTTCCAGAGGCACAACAAGAAACGCTACCTGGACATCATCGACGAGAAGGCCAAAACTGACTACAAGACGTTCAACGAGCAGAGGAAGATGAAGAAGAAAAAGAGGAAAACGGAGTGATCATACTTAGGTACTGTGTTAATTGTATAGTTTATATTTTCTTCTTTTACCATAAACGTTTGTTTTACTATAAAATATGACAAAAAAAAAAGGAAATGCTTGTTTCTGATTTGAAACCTTTCAACCCGATCCTCGAATCCTGTTCAAAATAATTCCTTCTTTTTCGAAACGATATAGATTCGGAATTTAATAATGTTGTTTACGGAATTTCAAGTTTGCATTGATAAATAGGAAACAGGGAAATACCGTGACGCAAATTAGCAAATTCATTTCAATTTTAGCAAAAAGGAAAAATATTCGTATATCTGGTTGATAAAAAAATGTATTATTCGACAAGTTTTAGATGTTCTTATATATATAGAAATGAATGAATTAAAGAAGGCTTAAGAAAATGAATGTTGAAGAAGAATTTTCAGCGCGAGGTTTTGAAGAAATCATTCATCTTTTTTAAAAACTAGTGGTAATAATATGTGACTAAAAAGTGAAAGTTATGGGTGTCTTTTCTTTCTCAAGTTAAATTAAATAAATAAGTTTGAGAGATTTGTTACTACGGCCAGACGATCTTCTCGATCCAATCTATGTAGTGCGAGACGCGAGTGTAGACTCCCGGGTTGTTGGCGATGCCGCACGCCTTGCCGAAGGAGGTGACGCCGATCAGCGAGTACATGCAGTACTCGTCCAGGTGATAGATTTGGAGAGGACCACCGGAATCGCCCTAGAAAAAAACGAGATTCAATTAGAATATTGAAAGTTCATCATCGTAAACATCATTACCTGGCAAGTGTCTTTGCGTTCGGTCTTGGAGCCGGCGCACAGCTGAGTATTCTCGACGATGCCGTTCTTCAAGCGCCTCTCGTTCGGCGGAAAAGCATTTCGGCACTGTTGATTGCCGAACATCGTGAGCGTTACCTTGAGCAGGTAATCGCTGTTGGCACCGAGGAAGGCGACGCTCCCCCAACCCGTGGCGATGGCCTCCTTCGCGTCGATGCTCTCTTCGAAGTGCAGGCAAATGGGACGAACGTACGCCGTGAAACGGACGTTGCTCTCCAGCCGAAGAAGACCGATGTCGTTGTACTGCGACGGAGTGCGATACTCTGGATGCCGTATGATCTGAGCGATGTTCAGCTCCTGCGGATCAGCATCGTTCACGTCCTTCAGGTTCGTGTCTCCGACCCTCACGTACTTGGGATCGCCGCTGTGGGGGAGGAACATGATTGAATTATAAACATATACGAAAGAGATGAGAAGACACTCACTAATCTCTGGTCTTCAAGCAATGCGCGGCCGTCAGCACGAAGTTCTCGCTGATCAAGCTACCACCGCAGACGTAGACCCTCTCGTTGGGACCATTGTCGTAACCGATGGCTGCCTGAAATTGAAAAAAGGAGTAAGATTATATTGTTAGTTCGAAGACAACGCATTAATCTAAGAACGTTGATGACATCATCCTCCAATAGGTACATCTATTTGCATATTGCAGCTATCTGTAGGCAAGATATGTCCTCGAGTTTCGCATAAATACGATAAGTGTAATCTACAAGAAACGATTGTTTACCATGTGCGGGAATTCCTTGTCTGATGCTCTCGTCCCTCCGACAATCAGTTTGACGGCCTTGAAACCGCACTCGTTTCTCGTGCCGGTTCTGACGGCGGTGTCGAAGGAGAGTGTGGGCAACTCGAAGGTGACGTTCACCAGCTTCGCGTACTCTTTGCATTCTAGAAGTGAAGATCAATTGAGCATTGATGAACGTGTTGAAAGGATAATGTGACTCACTCTGGTAGCTCTTCATGCCGACGGCTTGCGGATTTCTATCTTGGATATCGGGCTTCTGCTCGGATGGGCAGCAGACGATCGGCACGGTCCCATCGAAACCGCACGTCTCGGGGAAGATGTGCTGGGCCAGTTCCTGGAGCGCTTGCGGACATTCTCCCACGGATTTGCAGATTCCCGGACTGTTCAGGCGATTGTGGACGCACGGATCATCTGAAAAAAAAAACAATAATTAGAATTGATGCATTATGAATTATGTTTGCGAGAAACTCACCCACTTCCAAAGTTGCTGCGTCGCGGATTGCTAAAGAGATTGCGAGCAGGACGACAAAGTAATTGGATCGTTGGTGCTGCATGTTCGTTCGTTGCTTTCGCGATCACACTGTGCTGCGGCGAGTCTCGTCGGCCAATTGCGAATGAAAAATATCGCGCGTTTGCATTCGAGGAAGGGCGCGGACAGTCGGACGAACGAACGCAATTTTACACACCGCAGTCCTCAGATCGACGTCGTTTTCGATAACGAATCGTCTGCGGTTAGAAAATCCGCGCTTCCTGCGAGCGAAAGTTTCGCAAAGTCGGATGGAAGCGACGCACGCACGCACGTTTTTCAATGCCAACCGGATTCGTCTGTTAGAACTATGCTACTTCTTGCTACTGATCTACGCATTGTTATTATTCCGTGTCCAATTCGTGGAGCTTCGACCTCTATTTTATTATATTATAAACTGTTTCCTTTCCAGACTCGACGCAAAGTTCGAAACATGAAAAATGCGATGTTCGAAATGAGATCGAGCGTGCGTTGTCCGCTTTAAAAAAAAAGCCATTGTTTCGCTTTTCCATTATTACGGCCTGCTCCCAATTATGTGCGATTGTCTTTTCGAAAATGTTACGACTTGAAATATTTAAACTCGTAACAATTTCGCGTGTCACGTAAACAACGAAATTATATGGTATTATTATCAATGCCGTCCGTAGCATAATTCACGATGTTCTCTCTTTTTGTCAATATGTGCGATGTTGTAGTGATCCACGATGACCCGAGCTCTACTTCGGGAATCCCGCATTCGTTTTTATTAATAATAAATATGGATGTGTGCAGCCAAGGACGTTCGTCTTTCTTTCGCTGATAAATGCATGCAGCCGCAGCTTCCTTTGTTTGTTCCGTTTTTTTTTTCGCTGCGGTTTGAAGAAAAACAAAAACTCTTTGGCTATGCAACTTTTGACGGTGTTAAACTTGAGCAGCTTCCAGAAGAATCGACAATCTTTCTTTTTTTTTAATGTGAGGGAAAATCCGATTAGTGTTTTGCTATTAATTACTAGATGCTAATTTGATGAATGCGATTCTGGAAATCGTTTTAATTGGTCGGTTGAAAAGTATTTTGGATTTTTGTTGAAACTTGAGCTTGTATGATTCTTCTTTGTATTATGAATAATAATTTGCGATATCGTCATCCGAACTCGATACGTCGGCATCTCCTCCGCATGACGATGATATTGGAGAACTATTGAATTCTTCATCTGAAAAAATGTTGAATAACTCATCATCTGTTGAAAGAAAGTCTTCATCATCATCATCTGTTGTTGGATCATACAAAAAATAATCTTCATCATCATCTGTTGTTGGATCATATACAAAAAAGTCTTCATTGTCATCTGTGAATCCACTGTTATAATCACAGGATATACCAAGATCAGCTGATGCCAAGCTTGATTCCTCCTCCTCTGACCAATCATCCAGCTCCTCCTGATTTGATGACCCATTATAGTCCATGAATACACCAATATCATCTGATGTTGCATCACTTGACTCTTCATCAAACTCAAACATATCAAAGTCATCCTCAGACCATTCACTCTCCCAATCCTCAAGCGATTCTTCAACTGATGATTCCTCATATGCTGCATCATTTAATACTTCAACTAATTCCTCCCCACATATTGCCTCATTTGATTCTGCATCATCTTCAACTTTCTTCTCCTCTTCACCAATTTCCATTTGCCCATTTGCATCTTCTTCAACAACTAATTCATCATCATCTGAGCAGTGCATGTGCTGCTCATTTTTGTTGTTTTCATCAAAATCCTGTATATCAACTAACAAATGATTGATTCTCATCAGATCTGATTGCTCATGATGTGCAGGTTCATCCAAAATTATTTTCCTAAATAGTTGGAATGCACTCGCGCCGAGAATTTCTTTGATCAGCGTGATTAGTAAAAACTCTTGCCTGCACACTGGACAGTATTTGATGCCGTGAAGATCAACGTTCCCCAAATAATCCATGACGCAACAGAAATGGAAGACGTGTTCGCATGGCAATTTCGTGACCTGCCATCTCGTCAAATCCACCGAACAGAGCGAGCAAACTTTTCCTACAACTAAAAAACAACAACAACAAATTTTCGATTATTCGCAGTTGCCGTTTGATCGGTAATTCGTTCGTACCTGCTTCTTCGTCGGCGATCTGCTGCTCTCGCTCAGCCATCGTTTCGTGTTTATCCAACTTTTTTTTTATGGTCACATTAACTTTACAATAACATTCAAAAAGATAAGTGATATAGTGTTACGCATATCAAGTTGGCATGAAAAACAAACAAACACTTTACACCGTTGCAAAAAATAAAAAAACAAAATCGCGAACAATCGAATTCGATTGTTTCGATACTTTATGGTAGTGAAAAAGAGATCCGTTGATTTTTACAACAGTGTTCAATTGAACTTTGTGGTAGAATTTCAAATTGTTCGCGTTTCACGTACAACGGGATGCCTATGTCAATGATAGTAAAAAAAAATCGCTCCACATTTAAAATTTTATCATAGTTTTATTCAACATCATCTCTTTACTTGAACTATATTATAGAGAATGCTGCAAGAGCATCGTAAAATGTGTTGCATAATTTGTAATATACTCCTAAACCTGCATTTATAAAATTATAAGTTTAACCTTTTCCATTAAATGTAAATTATGTGAACATTGAATTGTGTAGATCCTTCAGCATTTCCTTTCTTTGTGCCTCTCTCTTCTTCATTTTCCTATATTCCTCATAAAACTGATCATCTGTTGGCAATTCTTCTCTGCACAAAGGACATGAGTTGGTCTACAGAAATATAATTATTAGTGTATGGTGAATAATAACTATTGCAAATGTATGTCTATTACCTTACTCAGCCAGTGGAGTATGCATTCTGTGTGGTAGGTGTGCTTGCAGGGCATCTGCATCCCTTTACTTCCAACTTCGAACTCCTTCAAACATATTATGCACTCCTTCCCTGAAAACTGTATGGTTATTATATGTTTAGTGATATCCGATGCAATGTTTTCAAACCTTTTTCCTCTATTGTGATTACTGGCAGATTTTCGACCACAGAAGCAGAGGCTGGTGGAGCTTTTATTATGGAATCTGCATTGGCTGGAAAAGAGAAATTCTCACCAATTATTGCATGGATATCGTCCGGTACGAATTGGAAAAATTCAGACATTTTTGCACTTGCACTTTGCAATTTCAGCTTAGTCAGTGATCAGATGTCAGCGTATTATAAATGAATGTTTATATGTGTGACAGATCAATTAAACAATAACAAATGATTGGTTGGATGCAATCCCGTAGTTGGTACGTCTGGCAAACGAACGAAACTTTAAAGTTTCTCGTCTAAATGCAAACATAATAGGATAATTATTTTGGAATAACTGTAATTGATATTAATAGAATCATAACAGTAGAAAGAATTCGCTCAATCAGATTTGATTCGCTGGAATTTAGCGTTTTAAACTTTTGGTGTTTTTTGATCCGTCAGGTTCGTTAGATTTGAAGACAGCTGGTGTGCAGAGAAAAGAAAGAAAAACTTTTTGATATGGCGTATGGCTCAGAGCTTTATCAACAGACCAATTTCACGATCTGTTTTGTTTTATTATGATTTGACGACATGGACATTTTTAATTTGCTCGCCCGTTTTTTTACAAACGTAAGTGTACTTTCATTTATTTCGGTGGTGGATGGAGCGGTCTCAACGGAGACCACTTTTCTTTAACCCTTTTTAATCAATATACAGAAATTATTGACTGAAATTCGTCGTCTGTCCACGCATTTACTTCTATTCCAGCACAGATTCGTGCGCAAATATGTAATGCACTGTCTTCTTTTGTTGCAGGTGACATGGTTTTGATAAATTGAGAAAAGTGCTCAGTGAGTGTGTTGTGTGTGAGTGTCCACGAGTGTGTGTGAAAATGGAGGGTGGCACTCAGACCTGTCCAGTCTGCACACTGTACCTGAGACCAGGTATCTCACTGAAGGAGCATCTGACGAGCCACCCAAAGCAGAAAGTGATAGAGGCATTGGTGAAGCTTTCCAATGTAGAGCCAGACAGGCAAATTGCCACAGCATCAAGCAGCATCCAACCTGGTACTAGTCAGCAGCAATGGAACCTGCCAATGAATGCTCAACCCATGCACGCCAATCATTCGTTCATCTATCAGCAGTTCATGAGCTCGACGACGCCGCAGCCGAACGTGCTGGGCGTCAACCATCTGGGGCAGCAGTATGTCACGATACCGACCGTCTTCAATCCTCAGATGATGTGTCCTCCGCCGCCGTACATGTACCAGCAGCAGCAGGTCTTTATGTCGTCGGGTGGACAGCAGATAGCCGCGATGCCAAAACCTTTACCTATTGACAATTTGCAGGAGCAGGTCTCTACGCCCACCGACGATGATGAAGTCGTGGAGCAGCAACTGCATGTGGAAGAGGGGGAGGATGTTGCAGAGGTGATGCATAATGTGGAAGATGAGGAGGTGGAAGAAGAAGAAGAGGAAGATGATTTGGATAATAGCAAGAAGGAGATGGATGGATTTGAGGTGGAGAGCGACATCAAGGAAACCGTGATTATACAAGGGGATACTATAATTGAGCCGGGTCAGGTTGATTTAAATTTCCTCATGGCTGTGGCTCCTCCTTCTCCACTGCCGCCTCCTCCTTCACTTATTCCACACCCTCTTCCTACTCCCATCGACGTTTCAGTTGAGAACGATGCAATCAATTACGAGAAACCACCCAACAAAGATCTGAACAAATCCTGTCAGACGACGTACGATGAATCGGATATATTCATCGACAAGGAGGACATCGTCGATGATCCTAAAGAGGATGATGACGATGAAGACGAAGACGATGAAAATCGGGAACATTTGGTGGACGAAGAGGACGAGGAAATAGATGAGGAAGAAGATGAAGACGACGATGAGGACGAAGACGATGAAGATGATGAGGACGAAGACGAAGAGGAACATGTAACCACCGCGAATTACATAACTCTAATTAACCACGAGGAGGCGATGGTCGCAAACGATGAGAATGCGGCGCAGCACAACAACAGCATGATAATGGACATGGATGGAATGAACTTGATGATCAATTCCGATGTGCGGAGGCCGGCAGCTCCAACCCCAGTCGAAGACTTTGATTATATTAATCGATACGATCGGCAGCAGACGACGGGTCCAAAGATCAGCATCCACGAGAACGGCGATGAGAGCGTGTCCGTGGATAGCGCCAACATACGTGCCGATGAACACATGCCACCCAGAGGCGAACTGTCCGGGCAGGAGAGCAACGCGAGCGACGTGCCTTGGTCGAGGATGCAATACCACGAGGGCAATTCGGCGACATCCACCAGCTATAATACCGACGTTAACGTGCAGGACGGATGGGATGGTTCTTCGGACATGTCCAACTGCGAAGTGCCGCCACTTCAAAGCAGAGTTCCTCCAGCGTACGAGGAAGATGAGGACGATGACGACGACGTTCCCACCATTTCTGGATGCTCGAATTCGGGCATACAATACAAATGCTCTAGTTGCGAAGCGATGTTCAATACGGTCAAAGACCGAGTTGCTCACCAAGCGTTGAAGCATCCGAAAGATAGGAGAGAGGAGGAGACTAAAGTTGTTAAGAGGAGGACTGTGAAGAAGTTGGTTCTAAAATCGAAGAAGGCCGGCGTAAAAGCCGAAAACACCTTCGACAACGTCTTCACCAATAAGCTTAACGTGGAGGAGAATAAAGCCGATGAAGAGCCTGTGAAGTTGGAATCCGCTACGCACAATACCAGCGTCGCTTCGGTGGTGGTGAACCCAACCGTATGCACCATATGCGATGCCGTCGTGTCTGACAACACCGCTCTGCAGCAGCATCTCTCCGAAGTTCACAACATCACAAATGAGGAGAGGTACAAGTGCAGTATGTGCAAAGAGGTTTTCGCCAACGAGTCCAAGTACACGGCCCACCTGGCCATCCATCCTCTGGAGTGCCGTCTGTGCGGTAAATTCTTTTATCGACGGCAGAACCTACAGTTGCACATGAAGAGGCATCTCGGAATCAGGCCGTACAAGTGCACTGTATGTGACAAGAGTTTCCTAACCAGGCAGAAGTTGGAGGAGCACAAAAACATTCATACCGGTGACTCGCCGATCAAGTGCAATCTGTGCGACGAGACGTTCAGGCGACATTCGAACCTGGTGCAACACAAGAACCGGCATCATTTCAACGTGAAGAAGAAGGTGAAAGACTACATATGTACCTGCGGCGAGATCTTCCACTCGAAGCGGAAGCTCGCGTGGCACAAGGAGGTGCACGATAACAAGCCGAAGGCGTGTCCCTACTGCAGCGCCAAGTTCATCCACGCCTCCAGCCTGACGAGACACGTGCGGCGCGCTCACAACGATCGGTTCGTCCCCAAAGAGGAGCGAAGCAACGAGAACGTCCAGTGTCCCATCTGCAATGGCGTATTCCTACGGGCCTCGCTGGACGTGCACATCAAGAATCACAGCGGCATCAAGCAATTTCGCTGCTTAATCTGTAGCAAAGATTTCACCACCAAGTGGAACCTGAAACTGCACAAGTGGACACACGCGGCTCGCGCCGCCAAACCTTTCAAATGTGAACTATGCAAGGGGGCTTTCATCCGCGAGACGGACTACACGGCCCACATGAACTCGCACAAGTCGATCAGGCCTTACACCTGCAACTACTGCGGCGCCCAGTTTAACCGCAAGTACAACTGTCAGAGGCACGTCAAAGAACACGTGAAGGTTAAGAACTTCAACTGCCAAATCTGCGGTAAGAGCTTTCACAGGTCATACTACCTGAAGGATCACATGCGCATCCACAGCGGCGACCGCCCTTATGCCTGTCACATCTGCGGCAAGTCCTCCAACTCGAAGAGTAACCACAACAAGCACGTGAAGACGCACCACGCCCGTGAACCTGTCAGCACCGAGATCTGATTTCTCTTCTCCTTGTTCATTTTTTTCTTCTTAGCGTCTAAAACCAAAAGAGTATAAACTACGTGGCGCTTCAAAGAAAATTATCGAAAAACAAAAGTACATTTCACATCCCATCACATATTATGGCCATGCTTTCTTCGTTTACAAATCATCATCATAAACGTTGTACTGTGATTGTTTCTTCATTTATATTTTTTTGAAATCCTTGATTTTAAATCTTTTTTATTGTATTATATACATATTTAGGTATTAATTAACTTTATTTTCTGTTCAGGGTTCTCTTTTTTCTTTTGGGTACATTCTAAGCAATAAACCAACTTCTTAAGAAACCAGATGCAAATCACTGTTATTTTTATCATTACCGTTGCGTTCTGCAATCGTCTTCTCCATTTATCCCAATGATGTGTGACATCTTTGATCTATTTATTATTTACAACGATTGCAGAACGCAATGTACATGCAGACACAGACTGGTTTAGTAATACGAAAGCGTGAATTACATTTAGAAAAATTTAAAGCCAAAAGTTCTATATATATAAAAAAAATACATATATCTAAGCACTCTGTGTTACTACTACTACTATTTCCTTACAATCTATGTATAATTGATTGGAAAAAGACAAACATTGTGCATATTGTTTTTATTTTCTTTATATAAATATTTTTTTTTTCAAGATTATATTAACTTGTGTACGCAAATTATATTTGAATGAATTATATATATATACTAATGATTATTAATGCAAACATTATGTGAAAGTTATTAAATAATGTAACATAATGAGAATAATAATAATATATTGAAATTATACTAATTCTTATTAGTTAGAGGGCGGAGGACGAGTGTGTAATTTTATATATCATTGTATTGGTCTAAGAAGTATATTTTCAAATAATAACAAGATGTATATATAAATATTATTTCTAATATATTTCTGTAACAATTACTAATTATTATTTTAAAGTTAATTTTTTTTCTTGGAGAGCAGCAAAAAAAAAGTGTTGAAATTTAATTTCCGCAACACTCTCTCTCATCATTGATTCTGAATAATTTACAAAATTACGTCCGACGTATGTTCCATTAAATTTTTGTTTATATTACATTTTAAAAGTTTATTTTATTAATATTGAACTCACATTTACCTCGAACTCTTCCCCATATTTACTACATCCGTACCTCTTTTCTATAGCTGCGATCGCCGTCGCTGCAACATTCTCGTCTATCACACTCAAAGTCCTATAAAATTTAATTGCCGATTCCTGAAAATAAGCCAACTTAAAGTAATCTGAGGTAGTATTGTATTTAAAATGTCAAACCTGCAGGCTCTTTGGTTGTCGTTTCGAAATGTATGGTTCGACACCGATCAAGATCAGCTCGATCGAGGTTTCTCCCATATCCAAATCGTTGATGAGGATGGCCAACTGAGAGAGAAGCGCTTCTTGCATTTTGAATGCCTGCGTGTATCTGTAGGCTGAACCCGCATCTTTCAGGTAACTCTCCTTGGACTGTTTCTTCAGCACCTTCCCCAAAATCGGTAGGACATGTCTGAAATGAATCAATTATTAATTTACGTTTCAGAAACAATGAACCATCGATTATATATATACTTTGCAGTACGACTCCTGATGAAATCTTTGGACAGCCTGCTCAGCGCGAGGAGTAATTGAAAGCTGAGATTTATTACTAAAGGCGTTTCGATGGCATCGAAGCAAGTGAGCAGAGGATCAAAGATCTGATGAACTATGGGCAAGAGCTCATCCTCCCACTCGGCTAGAACATCAACGCCGTTTGTCAGGATTTCTAAAACTAATAAACGCGTAGTCGCATCGTGGGTGGGCAAATAATGCACACACCGGCGTAGTATAGCTTCCGTCAGTTTTACGTACAAGGGCGGTTCCTTTTTCCTGTATCCCTCCTCTTCTTCCTGATCATCCATAGTCATATCCAACTCCTCCTGTTTCTTCTTCATATCCTCCATAAACAACTCATCTGCGGTTTTTCCCATAATGTCGTCCGAGAAATCACTTTGGCTCTCCACATTTGACACCTTAAAATGATCGTGTTCTTGCTCTTTTTCAAGCCTACTCTTGATCGCGTTCGGTTGTGCCTCCACACAAAACCATATCCGTATGCGTTTCACGAATACAAGGAAGACCCTTAAAAATGGACACACTTTCACAGTTTGCTTTTGGAAGCTGTCCAGTAAAATGCCTTCGATAATGTTTGAAATCGACATCAGAACGTCCACAGTGCTGTAAGTCAAGACGACGGCCAGAACATTGAGTACGTTCTCATTGCGGTTACCCCGCTTAAGCTTCCTAATGACGTGGTAGGAAAAGTAATCGCTATTTTTGTTGATCAACTCCGTGATTGATTTATATTTGCAGGCAACAGAAACATTAGTTATGCAACTTAATCCGGCAGCTTTCAGAAGCGCTAAACCGGACCCTGTAAAACCCACACAAAAGTTAATCAACATTTCTTATTTGAGTATTTACGTACCGGCTCTCTCCAGAACGACGTAAAGTATTTTCAGCAGGGACAGCTGAAACTTTTCTCCAATAGCCAATGCCATCTTTCCAATACCCTCCAATTGCAAGCAAATCTGTATGACGTTATTCCTGATAATTAACAGATTATCACCTTCCAATGAAAGATTCCAAAACTCTCGCTCCAAGTAAATATCGATCATCTCTATGACCAAGTCCGCATTCTCGCTGCCTTTCCCTAAAGACATTCATAAATCTTAATTTCAAATGTAAAAGGATGATTGAAAGTATTACTTGATAAAAGTTCATTTATAATGAGAGTTGCCTCTTTGCGATTCTTCAAATCGTTTCGATAAACGTCCACAAGATAATAGAAAATCATCTCCTTTATTCCATCTTGCCCGAGCAGAGAGCACACTATCTCCAGTTTCTTTTCTATCGCCTTGTCTCTAAAACGAAACACCTTCCAAGGCGTTCTGCTATCCACCACCCCCGTCTCCAAATCCTGCAAACTGTACTCCTCCAGCAAATTCACTCCGTCCACTTCCAATTTGGCCACATCCAGAAGCGATTTCATCAAACAGTCCAAATTGGATTGCGAGAACAGAACGGATCGCGTTTCGTTTGCACCGAAGAACTTCAGGTAACCGACGAGCATACACATTGAACTTAACTGTCTCCTTTCATCTAGTCCATTAAAAATTTGAGGTAGATCACTGATATCCTTATAGAAATTCTCTTGCAAATGATCGAGAACAATCTTGTATTCCATTGAATCGCCTCTGGTGATTCTGTTGATAGCCTTCAACAATATCGACTTGGCCTTTTCAGATGTATCCGCATATCGGTCTTCGGTTAGAACGGCTAGAATTTGAATGACTCTGCTTAAAGTCTTTGGAATCATTCTGAAATCGTAATAACAAAACAGAAAAAGGATATAAACTTGCATTTACATACATTATTTTCTACCTGGAATCGATCAAGTTTTCACAGAAGTTTACCAGCTCTCTGGTAACCCTCGGAACATCGTGCGAGGTAAACTTGGCGAACTTGGTGACGATCACCTCCAGTTTGTCGTCGTGCTGGCTGAACCATTCTCGCTTTCTGGAGATATTCTCAAACTCATCCTGTTTTCCCATCGACAAAGTAGCTTCTAATACATCTTTTGGCTTCTCCGTGTTCAGCATCATCAGGGCCACCACTCTGCTCCAGCATCGCAGCCCTGCAACGATGATATCGGATCCGCATTTTTCATCTTGCATAGTGATAAATAGACCTGTGGCAATACCAGGTACCATGTCTTTGAAACCCAAAATTACTGCATTCCTCAACGTGTTATTCAGCTTGGAAATATCATATACTTGCGAGTAATGCATTATGCATTCGATAGCTTTTTTCCTAAAAAAAAATAATACTATTTTAGTGAAAATTATTATTGTCAAAAATACCAATCATCACCTTACACATCTCGTTTCGTCGAATTTAACAATGCCAATGCATGAATGAATGGTTGGAGAGAGCTTGTAAGTTCCTGTTGCATACACAGTAATCAAATCATCTTCATGGACAGCGTGTATGCATGCAATCAAACAATCCAACACTGATAATAATAAATGTTCACTTCTATTTTTGTACGCTGAAAAACAACAAACGATGAAAAATTAAAGTGATTCTTAAAAGAAAATTTAACGTGCATTACCTTTTTCATTGGGATTGTAGATGAGCTTTACTAAAATTGCATTAGTTATGAAAGCAAATTCTCTTTCCAAGTAGACGAAATTGAGCAAATGATTAAGACCTTTCAGAAGCAACAAAACTTTACTCTCATTCCTGAAATTAAAATACGTAAGTTATCTAGTTGTTCAATAAATTAATTAGAAAGTATATTTACTGTTCCTTATCAACTTTATTGAGGTAACCAGCAACAATATGGCTCATCCTTTCACTCTTCACCCGACAATCCAATCCGATGTGTTTAGTGAAATTGTTAATGCAATCCAAGAAATTCTCATCCTCGTATATCAACAACTTCATGTACAGATCTAGCAATGTATTTTGTTCTTCCTCTTTCATTGTTGACCTTGATCTTTGTTTGTATTGTACTCTCAAATCTGTCTGTATCTGAGCACCTGAAAAACATTAAAAGCAATATTATAAAACAGTCTAAGAAGATGATAACTATTGATTTGATGTGATAATTGATCTACTTGGAATAAAAGGTATGTTAATAATTCATATAAACATTGCTATTAATATATTAATGTGTATAATTTCCACTATCACAAGAAATTAGTATATTTTCAAATAAGAAAAGGAAAAATTGTCACTACTGCAGAACTGCAACAATCCTAAAAGTCAGTCATTAAATTTGTTTACAATATTTTTTATTATTCTAATTTTAAAGCAATTAACAATTCATCTTTCTGGAGAACTTTACCTTAATTAATATTATATAAAAATATGTAGTAATTAACTCTTTATTAACTGTAACTTTCAAATTATTTAATGTTGATGGATACAAATTATTCTAGGTTATACATTATATTCCAAGGGTGGTTTATTTTTTTTGTTTATGATATATGTGTTGCCTATATATTATATAAAACGTAAACATAGTGTACATAGTTAATTGGGAATTTAATTTTAATCCAATAGATAAACCAACATATGATAAATCTAACGGATAAAAACGAGATCCGCAGCATTTTCTGTATAAAACAGGTGCAACCTCGAGAAGGTAAATGCGTACGGTCTTGTATCTATTCAGAGGCTGTGTTTTGCGCTTGAATTGATACCTGGTTATCATCTTCGAAAGAAGTATGATATACCTTTAATTAGCACCTGGACATGCGGCCACGTGGAAGCCGCTGCTCTCATTCACAGCAAATGAGAGCAAACGCGCGACCGCACACCCGGGAGGAAT